ACTATACAACAAGGTATGAACACTGCGTGTTGAAGCCACATAGTTACGCGTAAGATACAAACGCGTTACTATATAACAAAGTATGAACACTGCGTGTTGAAGCCTCCTACTTACGCGCAAGATACACACGCGTAACTATACAACAGAGTATGAACACTGTTTGTTGAAGCCTCCTAGTTACACGCAAGATACACACGCGTAACTATATAACAAAGCATGAACACTGCGTGTTAAAGCCTCGTTACGCGTAACTATACAACATAGTATGAACACTACACAAGCGTAAGTATACAACAGAGTATGAACACTACACACGTGTAACTATATACAAAGTATGAACACTACACAAGCGTGACTATATACAAAGTATGAACAATACACAAGCGTAACTATACAACAGAGTGTGGGTCGTGCACCCCGATCAACGTGCCAGGTTACTCATAGTTGTTGACTAAATTTGTGACCAGTCAGAGAGAGGTTGTGTGCAGCACTGGTAGTTCCACGACAGGCGTTAAAAATATCTTGGCATACACTAGTACGTACGCTAAGCGCTCTACTTAAAATTGGGAAAACCACGGGGCATCTACGAGGGACTGATTATAAGTGGGCGTATAGACCTGCTTGCGAAGCGGTAGAGGATAGGTACATAGCCGACTGGCGTATACTTAGAATATACACAGAGGCTGTATGTAACGACAATATCACGCTTCAGAATACAAAGATACAGATACGTACTGTTTGGATGGTACATTGGGGACGTGAATTTCATCCTGGGCGGTGACAGCGGGTAATCGCGGGGGAAGCTCAGTGTGGAAGCGAACACCCCGTCTTCGTAAGGCGAGCCTCCCGGGCCACTGCAATAAAAAAGGTGATACATTAGTGATAGCATCTAAACGGATACATATACGTAAAGTTGAAATGCGTAAAAGAGAATACAAAAGCGTCATCGAAGCGGTAGTTCTATAGACGAGATTGCTAACAGTGTGCAAATAACATACCATATTATAGCTTCCCACTCAAAGAAATTGTCTTCGCTGATTGGTCCAGCCAATATACCTTCCGGATGTGATTTTAGTAGACCTACGGGAATAAGGGGCATATTATTAGCACTCAACGGCTGCATGACTATCACTGTGTCTCAAATCAGCCGTACCCACTACCAAACGAGACACATGTCACCACATCCTTTAAACGTCCTGAGACGCCGAATGATATTCTGCTAGTAATTTAATACATATTTGAATATATAAATATATAGACAGGTGTATGCATATGTATATACATACATACATACATACATACATACATATATATATATATATATATATAATATAATATAATAATATAATGATATGTATGTATTTATTCTATTTGTACAT